ACCGTACCCGCCGTCCCCCTTTCCTTTGTGGCCACCATCATCCTTCCCTCCCTTCTGGTGGCCACCGTCCTTCCCCTTCGGATACCCGCCGTCTTTGTGTCCCCCATCGTCCTTCCCTCCCTTGTTGCCATCGTCCTTGCCTCCTTTGTCATGGTCCTTCTTCCCACCACCGTAGCCGTTGCCGTACCCGTCATCGCCGTAGCCGTCATCCCCACGCCGGTCCAACGGGCATACAATATTGCTCTCGCCTTCGGCAAGGCAGATGCGACGCTCGACGCATTCTCTACCCTTCACGCAAATAGGCGGGCCGCACGGACGACATGGGCGCGGCGGCGGGTGCGGAGGCGGGTGGGGCTTGTGCTATATCGCAGAGACACTAATTAATACCCAGATGTGTGCGTCCCAAAAATGGGCACTTGCCTTGTGGTAATTATCGGCCTCGTCGTCTCTTCGCACTACCTCTCCCTGGCCAAGGACGGCAGAAGAGAGGGAGAAGAAGACGCAAAGTGCGGCGGCGGTGGACGGAGTGAAGCGCATATTGTTGGACTGGAGGTGCAAAGTGCAGAAGAGTACTTGAGATTGGCTGGTGGAGAATATGCGCAAAGCGCGCCTGGCTTTATACTCGCTGTGGCGCGCATCGCAGGTTAGATGAATTAGAACTGCGTAAATTGAAAACTTGAACTTGGGGCACGTGATGCGAGTTCAAAAATTATCGCCACACTTGGACGCTGGCAGCTGTCGTTTCAACTGGAATCATTAGACCCTCAGGGGGTTTAAACCACACCATGGGCGCACTGAAGCCCCGAGGCGGTGGCGGTAGGTCGGTTGGGCTGCTTGCACCCGTAAATGAGATCGGTGTACATCCAGAGTCACTCAGTTTCTCGTCGAGAGATACTTAACAATAAACTCGCCTCTTTTTGATTGATGGAATCACGCAAGTTGCCCAAAATGGTTGGCGCGAATTCTTGGCGCAATGCGAAGATCCTCGAGCGCGAATCCACCCAACCGAGTTGATCGATGGACACGGCCCCCCGGTTGCACGCCTTGAGTTAAATTAATTAAGAGTGGTATACATCCGTTGGACCTTTAAGTACCCGTAAATATTCGCCTAGTCAGTTTACCAGGCATTCAATAATAGACTCGGAAGCATTTCTTTCTCCAGGAATCAATCACCTCGCATTCTGGAGCTGAGATATATGGTACAGTTGTACTCTAGGAGTGCTAACGGAGTCGTAGCGAAATATAGTCAGAGACCCGTGTTCGCAGCCCTCGATCTCTGTAAGAACCTTTATGTGTGTTGCCAGCCGCTCGGATTTATATCAGCCCAACATGTAGTACAGAAAACGAGGCGACTCAGAGCGGGCAAATTCACTCACGACTGGCGACTGGCGGGCATACACGTATTGCAACGGCCTTGGTTTGATTATTTCCGAGGACCATGCTATACGACGCTTTGATTAATTGAGTTGACGTCATTTCCATTTAAGAGTCGAGAGTCTACGCGCTTATTGGTGTACCCATCCGTATATTCCGTGCCATAGAAACCAGTCGGGCAGGTGCCAGGGGATTGAAGGTGGCTGAAACAATATTAATGCCAGCGGCATATTACTTGGGTCACGATGGTAGGAACATAACCCGCTTATTTTGGAAATACGAACACGGCGTACTACCAGGTCGGGAATTGCAGAGTAAAGATAGACTGCAATCCTGGTCCCAAAACGATGTTGATCCAATTTTTGTCGGTGTTCAACTTGCAACGTTCAGAGTTCAACATCGGTTTAACATAAGCCGACCTGGCCCGATCACCTAAGTTAGAACGCTGTCGGCGACTTTCGTGTGTAAAGAGTCTTGGTATCTTTCGTTCACTAGGAAAATTTGAGTTTCGGTTGGATTATAGATTAAAAGGAAGGGATCTTGAGACGATCACCAAATCATCGCGGCACATCTCGGCATCGCCCTGCATCACGGTTCCGAAGGCTTGCCGAAGTCTCCGCTCTTCTATATTTCCCACTCAGCAACCGCAGACAAAAAAATTCTCTCCTTCTCGAGTCATGCATTGTCCAATTCTGCACTCTAACATGTTTGGGTTTGAATAGCCATACACGCTCGAGCTGTTCTTAGGCAACCTTGCATCTGATTGCGTGGGCTTGGAGAGTACATCTAAGCACCTCATTGATCATGAGTTTAAGCGCAAGCATGTATTCGCAAGCAGCAAGGAACTCAAAGATTGAGAATAGACTGTAACAAATTTGCATGGCATTTCATAGTGGCTGCGGTCAAAAAGCGAGCAAGAATCTAATTTGACTGTCAAGCACGGTTCCGGACAACAGGGTGACTATCACGGGAAGATCAAATCGTAGAGATTGGTTGGTCTGGTAAATATGAGATGGCCAATTATGTATATCCAAAGACTTCGGCACGCACTGGAGTCTTCGGAACCTCCACGCGTCCTAGCCGGAAGTTCCCGGCCGACGTAAATCTGACAAGTTTACGTTCGTGGGTTCGATTCCCACAGAACCGCGGGAGGTTTAGTGGGTAGTGGCAGTACGCTGCCGAGTCCCACAGTACCGTGACATCATTGTCTCACGTGTCTGCGCAAATGCATTCCTACCCTGGGCTCGGTCGTAATCCAAGACAAAGCACCGGCGGCCACGCGGGCGCACCGACAATGCCTTGCAGAGGTGGTGTTACTCCAAGAGATTCAACCTTCCACTGGGGGAAATATCCATGGGCAAGTGTGCATGACGACCCAAAATAGTGCTCACTTTGCGAGATCACCAAGGTTTTCACGCGTTTTGCTAACGAATAGGGCTGTAAATTCGGTGTAGCTGAGGAGCCGGCCCCGTCGCGGAGTTGATAATATTGTAGATGCCTGGCTCAATTCCGCCGAATTTGGCGGCCCCAACAGACTGCACAGCGCATCGCATGAGATGGAAGAAGCATGAGTTGGGAATGTCGCTTACTTTGCCATGGTCGACGTCGCACGAAACCATTGGTGCCTTCAAGGGCACTGCAACATGGAGGAGAGTCAGGACGGCGAAGCCGAGCGCGACGACTCTGGAAGGCATTGTTCTTGTACAGAGATTGCTCCTACGAGATGTGGCTGGGTGTGTGCTCTGATGTGAAGAGCGCAAAGAGTGGGGAGCAAGATGGTGGCTTTTATATGGCTATTGTTCGGGAGTTATGAGGAAGAGTTACCGAAATACGAAGCGTCCGCGGGAGAACGGTTCCCGAAGGCCCGCAGGGCCGAATACACAAACTTGAGTTGGCTTGCATCCGAGTTGCGACGCGTTTCAACTCTAGCCAGGGATCAATATCGATCAATTATGAATATTGAACATTCATGTCCACGATGGTGCGCGGGGATAGCGAATGCCAGACTACATGTACGTAACGATGGTGTCCCTCGGGGGGCGATGATGAAAGGTAAAGGAGCATTTGACGGTCCGAAGACCTGAGGCTGAGGATGATCAGAAATCTCGCATGCTTGGAAGAAAGAGTCATATATAACATTTGCTGAACATTGCGCGTTTATTCCCATCATATAAAACACGGCATCTGGATCCACGTCATTTAAAATTAAAATTTTGGCGGGGCCTCAATTCTACCGCCTGACGAAGGTGACAGCGAGTATCTGACAATGGTAGGCACTCTGATAAGCACAGATCCCTTCAATCACTATAGAAAGCCTTACCGTATTATCGCACGACGTCCCGGTGCAGATAATCTCCTCGCCCTCGTTCCTGCAAGTGCAGGTGCGCGCTTCGACTTCGGAGGCAGTCGGTGCAGCAAGGGCGAACAGCGAGAACGAGGCGAGAATAAATGAGACTAATGCGAACTTCATCCTGATGCTGGGTGCGAATGGTGGGTGGAGAGTACTAGACACCGGCGTGCTGCCTCTTAAACTCTTTATACACATTGATCAAGGAACCATCAGCGGTACGCGCCGAATAAACTGATCTCGGCGAGCGGGTCCCGACCACTTCACTTCAGAATCGCAGTGCGAGAACTGTACTGCTACTTCTTCTCTGGTGGTTCCCCCTTCCCCCTCGTCCACTATGGACCAACAAATCAGGACTATTTGACGCCCACGTCCGTTGTGGACTTAACTCCAAGATTGGGGCTCTTGAGTCTTTGGGACGGAACTCTAACACAATTAAGTGAGTTCTCCCGGGTCCCATCGAGCTATGGTGGCGCTGTTACCGCTGTAGCGTCTGCGCCAGGGCTCCGGCGGCGCCACAGGTGAGCCAGATGTTAACTCGGAGTTACTGGACGCGCAAGAAGTGCTCTTCGCCGCGCGCCTCCGCGCCTCTCTCGTGCGCCAGGGCTGGCGCCGCCCCGCATCCGTGTCTCCCCTGCGCTGGATCCCCGCGGCGCGCACGTCCTTTCCTACCTCGGGTGTTTCCTTCCCCAACGCCACGCCTATCTCCACCCCCGCCCCGTCCCCGCTGCGCGCCTGCTCGTCTCCCGCCCCTTGCCGCGCGCCCACGTTCCGGCTCACGGGGTAGCACCTCCGAGACGCTCCCTCTGCCCCGCGCTCGTCACGGCGCTGCTGCTGCGCCGGCACAACGAGCTGCACCTTTCTTCAAGCTTGTCGGTGGACGCCGGTGTCCGCGCCCCCGGGTGCGCGTTCAATTCCACGTTGGCACGGTAGACGGCAAGTCGCGCAGGCCGTCGCCGCTGTCGCAGCTGCAGGACGTCTAGCCCTCTTCACTTCTCTCTCATATCGAGTTCTTCTCGCGAGCCAGCCTCATCCCTTCGCATCACGAGCCCGGCCTCTTTTCCGTTGCATCTTCCCGCCTCACAGAGTGTAGCATTCTCGACGACCCGCGCATATATTACCACGCTCTTCCCCACGCACGCATTGACTGACACATTACGATTCGTGATCTTTCACCACGCCCACGCACAGACCGCACCCATTTTCGAATTGCTTTTCCGTAAGCGTACTAACCTGCTTTGAATGAAAATAAAAAGAATATTGCAAGACGCAGTGTTAGTGGCTCGGGCTCGAGTCGAACGAGCGGATTTCTGTTGAAATTGGCATCACCGTGGACACATCCAATGTAGGCAGACGCGGACCATCCGCTACCGAGCCTTTCATGCCCTAGTCCTGTGTCATCTAATTTAGGCAAGCAATTAAGCCTACTAAAATTCAGTCCAGCGAGGACAACAGCCAGTGTGCAAAAAGGACGAAAGGGAAATATCATGGCTCAGGCTCGAGTCGAACGAGCAGATTTCTGCTGCACAGATAGAATGCTGTTTCGTGCATGCTACGCAGATGCGGACCATCGAGCCTTTCATACCCTGCTGCCTTCTCTTTCAACTCAACCGAAATTCGGAACATCAAAGAGGCACTGCGTCAAAGAATATGGGTCCCGCCATCCCATGGCTCGGGCTCGAGTCGAGCGAGCTAACTTCTGTGGAACCTGTCGTTGATGAATACTGACGGGATGCAGAAGCGGACCCTCCGCTACCGAACCTTCCCTGCTCTATTCCGCTCTCTTTTATAAAAGTCAGTTGATTGAACCAAAATTCGGTACGGGCACTATGTGCAAAACATATGCTCCCCATCATTCCATGGCTCGGGTTCGAGTCGAACGAGCGAACACCGTCGTCATGTGAATGGTGGCTCAATCATCTCACTTCTATAAAAGAGAATAGAGGAAGGTATGAAAGGCTCGGTGGCGGATGGTCCGCATCTACATTCGGTGCTACGTGTATGCTGCAAGACTCAGCAGAAACTCGCTCGTTCGATTCGAGCCCGAGCCATGCCTCCGACGTCTCCCTAGTTTTTATGTTTTGCACCTTTGTCCCGTGAATTTTGGTCGCCTAACTTACCTGCTTAGAAGAGAACGGCGTAGGGTACAAAAGGCTCGGTGGCGGGTGGCCCGCATCTGCATTCTTTTCGAGGATTTTCCAATTGTTCAGCAGAACTTCGCTCGTTCCACTCGAGCCCGAGCCATGGTCTTCTTCACCTTCAAGCCTTTTTTCTTTCTTCTTCTTTTCAAAGCAGTTGGACGCCACGAGCTTACCTATTCGGGGTCCAAGCACAGGTAAGAAGGCTCGGTAGCGGATGGTCCGCATCTACATCCTTTGCTAAAGCCAGAATTCGCATTCGACAGAAGTTCGCTCGTTCGACTCGAGCCCTAGCCATAGGACAGGCAACCATGTCTTTTTCACGTAGTACCTATACCGAATTTTGGTTCGACGAACTCACATGTATCAAAGAGAATAAAATATGCAAAGTCAGGAGGGAGGCAAGGCTCGATGGCGGGTGGTCCGCATCTGCTCCTGTTCTGTATTCCCACGTTGAACCAGTTCCGCAGAACTTCGCTCGTTCAACTCGAGCTCGAGTCATTCCCCTGACTCCAGCCCTTTTTGTTTCAAAGTAGGTTAGAAGCGAGCATATATTCAGAGTCGAAAAAGGGACAAGAAAGGCTCGGTGGCGGATGGTCACGTTGTCCTTAATGATCCGGAATTCAGTTCACCTACTTGTTTGTCTGAGACTAAATTAGGAGAGAGTGGAGTAGGGTAGGAAAGGCTCGGTGGTGGACGGCCCGCATCTGCATCCTGTATATAGGTCATTCTGTTTCAGCAGCACTTTGCTCGTTCGACTCGAGCCCCAGGCATGGGACTGGAACCATATCTTTTTCACATAGTGCCCGTACCGAATTTCGGTTCGCCTAGCTCAATTGCATGAAAGAGAAGGGAACAATGCATGAAAGGTGCGATAGCGGAAGGTCCGCATCTGCATCCTGTATTCCGCAACCACAACTGGTTATTCGCTCGTTTGAATCGAGCCCGAGCCACTACACCGTAATTTCCGCTGGTTGTTTGCAGAGCCCGTTGTCCTCGCTGCACCGAATTTTGGTTCAACAACCTCACCTGAATAACAGGGAATAAACCAAGGTAGGCAAGGCTCGGTGGCGGGTGGTCCGCATCTGTATCCCGTAATCAAGTGATGAATCTGGTTCAGCAGATCTCGCTCGTTCGAATCGAGCCCGAGCCATCAATCCAGCTTTCTCTTTTTGCCACTGCCCGTTGTCCTCGCTGCACTGAATTTTGGTTCGCCTTACTTACTGTAGTATTTCGTTCAAATCGACCTGGGGGGTGACGCGTGACCCGAAATACCGATTCGACCATCCGCTCACGGCCGAAATTTTGCGTGACTCAACTGAAATTTTTCAACCAAGGGAACGAAATTTTTTGGTTTTTACGCCCTTTAAATTGGAGGGTGTGTCACGCTCAGTTCATTCGACCAGGGTGACGCGTGACCCCGCACCACATCGAACAGTGACGCGTGACGGTTGAATTGAACGAAATACTACAGTACCTGGATTAAAGACAACGGAGTAGAGAAGACTCGGTGCCGGATGGTCCGCCTCTGCATTCAGTGCATCAGTGTTTCCCAGTTCAGTATATATCGCTCGTTCGACTCGAGCCCGAGCCATGTTCTTCAAGCTTCTTTTTCGTTTCAAAGTAGGGTAGAAGCCAGCAAATGTACTCCGAGGCGATAGGAGGGAGAGAAAGGCTCGGTTGCGGATGGCCCGCCCTCTGCATCCTGTGTGAAATTTCTTCCGCTCTTTAGCAGAATTCGCTCGTTTGACTCGAGCCCGAGCCACTTGACTGCAATTACCGCTGTTTTTTTTTAAAAAAAATTCACGCAGTGCCCGTACTGAATTTTGGTTCAATCAACTCACCTGGATAAAAGAGAACAAAGTAAGATATGCAAGGCTCGGTGGCGGATGGTCCGCATCTGCATCCCGTCACTCTTCACACAGGTTCAGCAGACTTCGCTCGTTCGACTCGAGCCCGAGCCACAAGATGACGGGAACCGTATCTTTTTCACGTAGTGTACCGAATTTTAGTCACTCGCCGACATGGAAGAGAGCGGGATAGAGCAGGAAAGGCTCGGTATCGGACGGTCCGCATCTGCATCCCGTTTGTACTCGTTTACGACAGGTTCAGCAGACTTTGCTCGTTCGACTCGAGCCCGAGCCACAACTCCAGCTTTCTCTCCTTTTTTGCACAATGCCCGTTCTTCTTCATGAAATGAATTTGGTTGAACTCACCATAGAAGAGTATGGGGTTGCATAGGAAAGGCTCGGTGGCGGAGGGTCCGCATCTGCATTCTGTCCTCTTCTGCTCCCCAGGCTGAACCAGTTCAGTAGAACTTCGCTCGTTCAACTCGAGCCCGAGCCCCTACGCTTACGTTTCGGTCTTTTTTAAAATTTTAGACGGTGCCACCGGTTCGATCTACTCGGCGCGCATTTCGGCTCCCTTCTTCCTCAGATGTACCTCGTGGAACTTACCTGCATCTGCATCCCACTTTACCTGCATCTCACTCATTAACTCAACCGAAAACGAGAGTCAACCAAGCAAAACAACCAAGAAAAAAGCAACAGCAATTCGAAAGCAGGTGCGGTGTGTACAGACTAGCGGTAGGTATCGCAGCGGATGAGGGAGGCTACAAAGCGGCCAGCGAGAGCCGGGCGTATCTACAGTACGGCTGGTGCGTATCGTGCGCGAGTATCATGTCAAAATGTGAGGGTGGATCGTGAAATGCGTGAAATGCGTCATTCAATAGGGGCGTGGTGTGGTGTGATATATGCGTGCGGGTCGTCGAGATGCTACATTGTGTTGGGTTGGGTGGGAAGGTGAAGATGCAATTGGAATCGGAGGCTTGGTGCTCAAGAAGGGGAATTGGAATAACCCGAGGCTGGCTCGGAGCTCGTTAGATTTGCGCGAGCGGCGACGGCCTGCGCGTCGGCGGCACCGGCGCACTGGGATCAACGACGCGCGCGCGCACGCGGGCGCGGACACCGGTATCCAGAGAGGCGTGGGGCTCGTGCCGACGCAGGAGCAGGGCCGCGACGAGCGCGGGGAGGGGGAGCGTCTCGGGCGTACCATTGGAGCCGGAGCGGGCGCGGGCGCGGGAGATGAGCAGGGGTGGGACGGGGGCCGGGGAGGGGGTGGAGACAGGCCCGGGGAACGGGTCATCCGAGCTGGGAAAGGATGTGGCGCTCCTCGAGACGAGCACAGACGCGGGGCGCGCTGCGGGCGTCCAGCGCGGGGGCGACACGGAGGTAGGGCGGTGCCAGCCCTGGCGCGCGAGAGAGGCGCGGAGGCGCGCGGCGAGGACCGCATCCTGCGTATCCAGCTCCCCCTCCCCCGCGTCCATGTCCAGCTCACCCGCCTTGAAAGAGCGCTCACGGAGCGCCTGCGATACGCTGCGCTCAATCTGGGCGGCGAAGCGCAGGTCCGCGAGCGCCACGCTCGCTCGCTTGGCGGGCTTCGGCCGACGGGGTTTTGACATCGGTCCCGTCGGAGGCGGGGCCAAGGGCTGCGCGCGGCGCGGGGTCTGGACGTACGATGTTCGTGCACGCGGGCGGCACCATGGCTCCGCTGCCGGCTGCACTTCGCCACACGCCCCCTCCGACTCCGACTCCAAGGGCAGGTCGACGTTCGGGAAAGGGACGAACGACGCTGCGGCCGGAAAGAGCTCAGGTGAAGCATGGGGCGAGGCGGTGACGCTGGCGAGCGAGACCGTGCGCGTCGGGGGCGATTTCCGTGAGGAGGAAGTATATGATGACGCGGGGCTTGGTCCTGTTGGACGAGTCGACAAAGGGGCCTTTCAAGGCGGGGTGCAGCGCGGGGGAGATCGCCATTCCGTGGCCGTGTGTCCGGTGCGTGGGTGCTCGCGGCGCTGCAGAGCGGGCGCTGCGGGTCCAAGGGGTAGCCTGTGGGGGTAGAGAGGAGGCAGAAGGCAAGCGGAGGCTCCGAGTGTCACGGTAAAAGGGTCGGGTGAATTGATTGTCAGATTGATGCAGTGGTTGCACCGATCAGGTGACCGTTGATGCTATGTGAGCTAAAGGTAAAGGAGGCACGACTTGACTAGCTTGACTTAGTGGGAGATAAGGGAGACTAGAGTACGAGCGCCTACCTCGGCGCCTTCGATGGGATCAATTCATACACGTGATCATTCTTCTTCCTCGACGCGTCCATCGCGTCTTTCTTCCTCGCTCCTCCCTCGCTCTTGCGGGTTTGATCTACGGCAAATTTCGAGTCCACCGTCTACCACACCCCATTGCAAGT